GATGAATGATACACCACAAAAATATTCAGCTTTTAGTTTTATTCATTAAAAAAAATAGTATATAGTGAATAGTATAGGTAAATATAGTAAAACCGTAAATATAGGTAAATGGTGTCAAATGAATTCAAATTTTGACAACTGATATTGATAATTAAACTGTAAAGTAAAATTAAGATTTTGGTCATATTGCCCATTCATATTCTTTGCTAAATAGCAGAAAAGTTCCCACAGTTTTACATACAGTATTCAATTTTTAATGATGTTCACCACAAGTAATAGACTACATTGTAACCTGGTCAGAAATAAGTATATTAATGGCTGCTATTTTGCATACAACTATTTGTGAAAGAGAGGCCAAGAGGGCAGAGATGAGGTTATCAATTAAAAGTCAGTAGGCCTATGTAGTTTCTTCATTCACCGGCCAATTTCACATGTATTTTTAAATTACAAAATTTGTTTTTAAATACATTTTTTCACACAGTATTTTTATTTTTAATACATTTCCATGTATTTATGTCCATCTCTCTTTCTCTCTCTATATATACTGTATACTACTGTTACTATAATATACTACAATATAATGGGGCTGTGAAACATTAATCGCACCCAAAATAAATTTGTTTACATAATGAGTGTACTGAGATATTATTCTATATGTATATAAATACACGCATGCATGTTTACATTTAAGAAATATTTGCATGCGTATACTGTGTATATATTTATTTTAAATATAAAAACGTATTATTCTTAAATGTATACATGCACAGTTTATGTAAACAAACTTTTTATTTTTGGATGTCATTAATCGTTTCACAGCATATATATATATATATATATATATAAATATGAGTGGCTGCTTGACATTACATTACTGTTCTTGTAATGGCTGCTTGCTAGTCTTTGTTTTGCACTTTTTTTGTTAAAAAATGTTTTATTTATTCAAGGTAATGCAAGCTCAATTTGCTCAGGACAACAATCCAGATGCCCAGACTTTACAAAAGTTGGCAGAAAGAACCGGTCTAAGCCGGAGGGTTATTCAGGTATAATGGGTGTTATTATTTTTTATTACATTAAACTGACTCAAAGTTGAATCTTGGATAACTTATAAAGAAATTGATGATAAAATTGATAAACTCTGCCTTCCGCTCAGGTTTGGTTCCAGAACTGTCGAGCTCGCCATAAGAAGCATGTCAGCCCGAATCACTCTTCAGCCGCTCCAGTGTCATCTCTGCAGTCTACTCAACTCTCGCCTCCTCTAATAGATGAACTTCAGTACACCGCTTTTGCCCCTGTGGACAACCCTATGCTGACTGCGCTACACTCCTATATGGATGGTACATTCCTCTCGTGGAATATTAACTGTATTCAGCTTGACTCAGCTAGCTTGATTTAATTTTGTGCAAATGCTGACCAGCTCTAGACTGAACATTGAATTTTTCGTCCTTGTAGTCCACTCTCCCAATTCACTGGTGCTGCAGCCTCTCTTGCCCCACTCGATGACACAGCTGCCCATCAGCCACGCCTGAGACGCACGCCCACCGCCCCACGCTCAGGTCAGAGGACCGCACGAGGAAATACTGATTCTTCTATTGACTGAGTCTTGAACAAGACCCATGCTACTTTATCTTTCATGGGCACTTACTGAAGGATATCTGTCTTGCAATGATCAAAAAGAAAAGTCTCTCTAATTGTGAAAAGAGCCTGAAGTTTTTGTTTAATATATTATATATATCTATATAGTGATGGAATAAATGGCATTTAATTTATTTCTTGTATGTGACTGAGCACTTTGTTTTAAAATAAACCTACCATGGAATTTTTAGTTTCTGGTTTAGTCGACGCGCATTGTTTTGTTTGGTGGTTCTAAAGAAAATGGGAAGGTGATGGAAAAGCCAATAAAATCTGATTTGCCTCTAGCATTGATCAAATTAAAGCGGTTGGTGTAATTATTTTGTTTAGTGTTTCTGCTTAAGAACTAGAGTTGTTTTTGGGATTATATGCATGGCTATTTCTCACATTTGTTCTTGAGCAACAATCATCAAATGCTCAGTCATCAACATTTAAATATAGTCTGATCTTATTAAATGCAAATAAATGTTTCAGAAACGCCCTAGCTTTACATCTTGGTCCGTGTAATGCTCTACAATTTCGGTTCCTTTGTGACTGACAAAGGGTTTTATCGCATGTTCTTGTACTTTTTAACATGTCAGTAATTTTGATATTTTAGTCTGCTCTCTTAATGGTCATTGGAAAATTGTCCAATGTTGGTAAAGATCTAAAAATGCAGTTTGTAAAGCTATCAATCCTTGCATTAAACATAAGAAATCGGTGAATAATTGGTAGCTGCTGGTTTTATTGTATGCAGCAGGATGATGGCTGTTAATTTTTCAGTCTTGCCTCGAGGATTTTTCTCAGCGAGCTGGTTGTGTAAAAGGGTCGAGCAGCTGATCCATCATTTTTCTCCAGGTCTAGAGCTGGAAGTAGACATTAGGATGCTTATACAGTACATGCATGTCTTTGTGTTTAACTTATCCCAAACAGTGATTTCCGTTAACTCTGGTGTTGTTACTTGAAGGCATTCGTTACAGTTAAAATATCACTTTAGGGTTAAGCGTATAGTCGGCTAATGGTTTTTGATGAGAGATCCACAGAACACATTTTTGAAAAATTGGTGGCGTTGAAGTTTTAATGCATTTCAATGACAGTTTAATAAAGGGAATTAAATACTGAGAAATAATGTTTATTAGTGAGAGATTCATCACAGCTGTGCCGTATTATTTGACAACTTGGGATAAAAAAAGGACCTGATGGAAGTCATTCAGGGAAAAAGTATTCTTTAAATAGTTTTATTCATTTAAATATATAAAAAAAAAAAATCACAATTCCGTTTTGTGGTACAAAAGTACAAATACAATAAATACCCACTCCTACAACATTACAAAAGTGTTTTAATCTGGGATTATAAAACCATAGCACTTTAATCTTGTATCTCACAGTACAAATAAACCTAAATGACTTCTTTGAGAAGGACGGTTCTTTTAAATTTCCAATTATTCTCAAAAATATCCTTAAAAGGGGACCAACAAAAAAACAATGGTTTGGTTCTTTTAGCTTCTTCGGGAAATCAATTGTTACAGGAGTTGAAGTGCTTATTTTTCTCTCAATCTCACTCGCCGGTCCTGAAGGAAGCATTTAGAAACGCACTTTGTCTACTGTCCTTCTGTGTGCCCGATAACTCCCAATCACTTCAACTACACAGAAAAGAAAATGCTATGAAAGCCCTTTGCTGATTTCAGATATTGAGTGCTTTTTAAAGTCTTCCAAACCTCACGTTAACCATCTGTTGAAGTATTTTGAGCAGGGAAAGCTCACATGCATTCATGAGTCCCAAATACAGTGGCACAGCACACATACAAATAGTGATGTGTTCATTATTTACATGGAAACAAACCACGGTTTGTATTTTGACATGAGACATTCAATAATTATCACCATTAAATTTTAATGAATTCCTCTGCCTGTGCATCATATTCAGAGGAGGGTTTCATCGAACCGAAAATATTATCAAACTGATCTGGAAGACTGTAGACTTGTTACATTTATTTACTGTACATTTTGCCCTAAATTCAGTGACGAGGGTTTAAAGAACCAGCCTGAACAGCTAGAGCTCAAAGAAAAAAAGATAATGGCTGCAACTACGAGATGCCAATAGGCTGCGTCTGAAATCGTATACTCTCTTGAGTAAGTACTCGTTTTGAGTAAGCTATTTCACAAGTGCTAAAAAAGAATGTTCTATATTTTATATCTATAACCAGGATTTACTACATTCGCCATGCTGTCATTATCATGTGACCTACCAGTCAGTTGCGTCACTTCACTGCCATTCGTAAATCCTCTCCCGTGGCCTCATGGGATAGTAAAGTGTCCGACGTATCCAGTAGCACCTCATTGCAGTACACGAGATCCAGGGGGCGGAGTTGGATCCAGATCTGAGGGGTGGAGATGGGTAGGATTAGGGGTGGGGTTAGGAATCAGGGGGTGGAGTTGGGTAGGTTTAGATAAGATTGGGTAGGTTTAGGGATCAGGGGGTGGAGCTGGATAGGTTTAGGGGTGAGTTTATGGATCAGGGGGTGGAGTTGGGTGGGTTTAGGGGTGGGTTTAGGGATCAGGGGGTGGGGCTGGGTAGGTTTAGGGGTGGGGTTAGGATCAGGGGGTGGAGATGGGTAGGTTTAGGGTGGGTTTAGGGATCAGGGTTGGAGCTGGGTGGGTTTAGGGTTCAGGGGGTGGAGTTGGGTAAGTTTAGGGTGGGGTTAGGGATCAGGAGGTGGAGATGGGTGGGTTTAGGTGTGGGTTTATGGATCAGGGGGTGGAGCTGGGTAGGTTTAGGGGTGGGTTTAGGGATCAGGGGGTGGAGCTGGGAAGGTTTAGGTTGAGGTTAAGGATCAGGGGGTGGAGCTGGGTAGGTTTAGGGTGGGGTTAGGGATCAGGGGGTGGAGCTGGGTAGGTTTAGGGGTGGGTTTAGGGATCAGGGGGTGGAGTTGGGTAGGTTTAGGTTGGGGTTAGGGATCAGGGGGTTGAGCTGGGTAGGTTTAGGGTGGGGTTAGGGATCAGGGGATGGAGATGGGTAGGTTTAGGGGTGGGTTTAGGGATCAGGGGGTGGAGCTGGGTAGGTTTAGGGGTGGGTTTAGGGATCAGGGGGTGGAGTTGGGTAGGTTTAGGTTGGGGTTAGGGATCAGGGGGTTGAGCTGGGTAGGTTTAGGGATCAGGGGGTGGAGCTGGGTAGGTTTAGGGTGGGGTTAGGGATCAGGGGATGGAGATGGGTAGGTTTAGGGGTGGGTTTAGGGATCAGGGGGTGGAGCTGGGTAGGTTTAGGGGTGGGTTTAAGGATCAGGGGGTGGAGTTGGGTAGGTTTAGGTTGGGGTTAGGGATCAGGGGGTGGAGCTGGGTAGGTTTAGGGTGGGGTTAGGGGTCAGGGGGTGGAGATGGGTAGATTTAGGTATATGTAAGGTGGGAGGAGTTGGATCTGGATCCGACTCCTCCCCGTGGATTTTGTTCTGCAGTGAGGACCATCTCGACATTTGCACACATATCCACAATCTCACCGGAAGAAGCAGGTCATCTGGGTACTTTCTGCCTATTTTTTTACTGTGAGGTTGGACATATTTATTTTATCACAAATGGTTTTCGCCTATAGTAGTAAAGTATGCAACTTCAGATGCAGCCCTAGTCTTTAAACACGAGTGCTTTGTCCGTCTGATCTGCAGTTGAGCTACTGTGATAAAGGAAATCTCTTTGCCCTCCATTACAACTGCAATGCTAAAGGTTCAGTTAATCGACAAGCATTTGTGACAGTGTTGATATAACAAAAATTAATGTCCAACTGCCCCTTGTCTTCTTTAAATAAGCCAAAATCTGGGTTGCAAAATCTGCAAACATTAAATACTTGTTTTAATAGGAAAAAACTTTGTTTATATACAATTATACAATGCCATAAACCCTTAAATGATAAAAAAACGAGAAAAATGATAATGCGTTACAACAGAAGAATTAATGTAACTACTTATAAAACTATAAGCTTTACATAATACTCCAAATATGGGCCCATTTATTTTCATCGCCTTCTTTCCTAAAGAAAATGAGGGACGAATTGAAATCATTTTTGTTGTAATCAACATTACGCCACAAATGCGATGGATCGAATATACCCGAAAAATATTCCTTCAATATATCATTTAAATTTACATTATCACTGAGACAAAATATTTTGTATTCCTAAGTATTTTGATGATTAAATGTCAAATGGGATACTGTTTACCTATATGTGCATATGGGGGGGGGGGGGTCCTGCAGGGATTGTGTGAAAACCATTTTAAAGTCGTCTTAGCTGTAAAACCAGCTCTATTCAATGAATCAGTCGTTCAGATTTACACTGAAATTGCGAACATCAACTCTCAAGTTGGGCTTCTTTTCTCAAGGTGTTCAATCTCAGGCAGCTTTTAAATGTCAGTAATCATTTTCCCAGAATAAGGCAGCAGTAAGAGGCAAACATGTTACTATGCAGTGTAGGGTCTGTGTCAGAAAAGCCAAAGCTCCGTGTCCTGGGATAGATGCTGTTACAGTGCAGAGAGAGTCTTTGGTCTTTTCTTGAGGTGGATGGTCACGTCAGCACTTCCCATAATCCTCAGCTCTCATTACAAAATGTAGTCCACCACTTCAGCTATAATATACGGTAAGTTAATGCATGCTAAGTATGTAAGTCGAGTAAAGGTATTCTCATAGATTTATCCGCGTGACTTCTTGGGGCTCATCTCGGCTCTTCCCAGAATTCTTTTCAGGCCGGGAGACATGAGGAAAGGCTTGGCCGTTGTCCCGTCATTTCTCTCCAAGTCTTCGCCTGTGAACGCGGCACCGTGTTGTACGATAACAAAGAAAACGGAGAGAAATAGAGGTTGTAGTGCCTCAGGAAGTCAAATGTGTAAAAATCTGCAGTTTAGAAATATTTTTGCACACAAGAGTGAAAGTCTAAAGCCAATGGTTTAGGAGATATTAAAATATGAATTTCAAGCTAAATAAATAGATGCTATAGTATCTATTATTCCATGCCAAAATTGATCACAACATTCAATGTATTTACTTATTTAAATATATTATTTCAAATATAATAAGGCTAGCAATACTCACAGAAACAAAGGAACAAAGTGTCCACACACATTGCATAGACGCTGAAGAAGCTGTGCGCAATTAAGTATGAACCCAGTATTACCGTCTGTCAAAGAAAGAGAGACCTGCCAGTCAAAACACTCTCTCAACCAGAAACTAGCTCCAGTTTGAAATAATAAATAACACTAAAGAGAAGTTCTCACCAAGAGAGGCACGCAGTAGTAATTCAACACGGGCACCTCCTCTTGGATGATGGGTATCTTGCGTGTAAAGAGGAAGAAGGCAATAACACCTGCAGGATATAATTGATGGAGCGCTCAACCACAAACCTCTATGGACCGTCGCTCACTGTTACACTCTCACGCCCTCGTGTGGTCACTGGAAATATGACCATACACGCAGTTCTGCTTAAAGGGATAGTACACTTTGAAATTAATTTTTGGTATGTTTTAGCTTACCTCAAGGGCATCTAAGATGTAGGTGTCTTTTTTTTCCCGCAGTAGTTTCAATTCTTAAATTTTTAGGTCAAACCGTTCGTGTCTGTCAGTCATATAATGGAGGTCTATGGTCACCACCTCAAAGAGCATGCACAGAGAAGTCCAAAATTAAACATGATTTACTGCTCGTTTCGTGTCTTAGGCCATCAATGTGTACTTACATTTACGAGTCATTAAATCATGTTTCATTTTGACTTCTCTGTGCATGCTCTTTGAGGTGGTGACCATAGGCCTCCATTATATGACTGACAGACAAGAACGGTTTGACCTAAAAATATAAAAGTTTAAAATACTGTGGAAACAAAGACACCTACATCTTGGATGCCCCTTGAGGTAAGCTAAAACATAACGAACATTTATTTCAAAGTGAACTATCCCTTTAACTAGCAGGAGTTTTTGCCACAAAAATAAACCAATTAATCCAATAGCCATTTCTAGTCTACGTCAGTGTAGACAGAAAAAAAAGGAAAACAATACAGAATTTCCTATGAAGCATTACACTATGAATAAACATGTTGAGATGTAGACATGGAGCTGGAATTTCAGCATAAAAGCTGCACTTTCATAAAGCATATTTCTTTGATCTCAAACAGTACTACTGTACGCTACAGTTTGGGTTCAATAAGAGTATGCTTGTTGACCAAGACTGCATTTATTTAATCAAAAATACAGTAATAAGATTAAATTATATTACAAATATTATTGTTTTCTATTTTAATATATATTTTAAAATGTAATTTATTCATGTGATCAAAGCTGAGTCAATTCAGCATCATTACTCCAGTCATCAGCGTCACGTGATCTTCCAGAAATCATTCTGATATGCTGATTTGCTGCACAAGAAACATTTCTGATAATTATCAATGTTGAAATTCTTAATATTTATGTGAAAATCATGATGCATTTTTAAGAGGATTCTTTAATGAATAGACTGTTCGAAAGAACAGCAATTATTTGAAATAGAAATCTTTTGCAACATTATAAATTGTCTTTACTGTCCTGTTTGATCACTTTAATGTGTCCTTGGTAAATAAAAAGTATTAATAATTTAAAATAATTTCTTTAAATGAAATAACATCTTTCTGACCCCAAACTTTTGAAACATAATGTACTATATATATTTATGTAAAGATATAATTTAATTTGACCTACATCATTGCAATGCTTCATGGCATGCACAACTGATTATCTTTGTCTTATTTTCTGATTTTAATCAGCTTTTTTTAAAGTTAATAATGTTGCTAATTCGTTTGACTGATGGTTTAGAACTTTTTTTAATTATTCTTATGGGAAAAAAGGAATGGAAGAAATACTGCAGTAGAAAAAGTAAACATTGATTCGCTCTTTATGTTAAATAACCTTATATAACAAACAAACCTCACTACAACCACACGCCAACACTCACCAACACTCCCTGCTATCAACAGTTTCCCCAGGAAGAGCAAGAAGTCTGTGACTTTGTCCAACACTGCCACCCTGCGGCAGAGAAGAGGAACTGCAGTAAGAGCACGTCAGTTCTGATCTAACTGATAGAGAACCCGGATATTATTCTCACCTCACGACATTCCTCATCAATAAACAGAACGCCTCTCGCGCTGATGTGCAGAAGTTCTTTCCATAAATAGCAATCTAGTGTGAAACATACGTAGGAATTACATCCTTGCATATCAAACTTGTTTGTTTATTGTGTATTTGATTGGGCACTATGGCTGACTCTTACCATTATGTAAGCATTCCTGTTCATAAAGCGTATAAATCTCTCCAGACACCAGAAGCAGCACTTCAGACAGCAGAGCAGGAACCGTGCAAACACATTGTGAGCTCCTACACAAGCACAAACACACACACATTCTATGTTTCAATGTTTTAATGGGGACTTTCCATAGACTTAACTAATGTGTACAAACTGCCTGCCTATCTATCTATCTATCTATCTATCTATCTATCTATCTATCTATCTATCTATCTATCTATCTATCTATCTATCTATCTATCTATCTATCTATCTATCTATCTATCTTCAAAAAGGCATAAGGGCATAAAGCAACCTTTAAGTTTGTGGTCCAGATACTCCAGAATGACTCGGATGAGTTGAACCACTGCTAAGATGAGAGAGCCGAAAGCAAGAGAGCCAGTGTGATACCTGCAAAACACAGCACAGCACAATGTTTCTTCTTCCAGGTCATGTTTTGAGCAATGCTTTGACTTCAGTATAGGAAACACTGGAACTGTACCGTATGGCCCTGGAAAAAGAGGAGAACACTGGGCAGGGAGGGATGTCTGCGGGCTTCCTCCGGGCCCAGTAATACGAGGCGAACGCCCCAGCGATGGTGCACTGTCCCAGAGCAATGGTGAAATTAACCAGCCAGAGGAAGACCAGCAGATTACAGAGCTGGAGGATGAAGATGTAGCGATGGTACAAGCTCTCACCCCCGTAAAAGGCAAAAAGACACTGAGCGCCTGGGCACTGCATGCTGATGTTGGTCCTGTTGAAGCTCTGTTGAAAATGAAAAAGCATAACCATGCTAAATCACCAATGATGTGAAGAAAAATTATGTTTTATAACAACCAACTTAAGTGTACAAATAATGGCATTGCAATACAGTAATTTTTTTAAGTACTGTTAACCATAACAATCAGCAACTTCTTTCATTTGTCAAGTTAATATCCATGCATTCTTATGTTCTTATTCCATTAAAAATTGACTATTCTTTCTCTGAATTATTACAATTATTTGTCATATAAATAACACATTCAAAGATTTCTGTGTTATTGAAACAATAATTAAATGACAACTTTATAATGTGGGGAATAGTAACAACTAAAAGTGTTGTTACAGTATCCTCTATGGATCAGTTCTTGACTGTGTTGAAGCTGTGAAGAACAGATCTCACCTCAGGATTGCAGGTTCGGTTGGTATACTTGCAGTTAGGATGGACAGATGTGACTTTGTAAACAGCATCACCAGAAGATGCAAGAAAGCTTCAGGTTTAATTAAGGTCTAAAGACAATGTGTGTTTATGCCATTGTGGTCACTTTTTTATACTTTTTTATGTTACATTACTAGCTGTTACAATAGTGCCACCAACTGGAGGACAAACAAACATTTTTTCCACACTGGAGGAAAAACAAACAAGTGCAGCTAGACGACGGTGTGTAGGCTATCATTCTTTTAAAAGTACATTGTGTGATATTTAGGAGGATCTGTTGACAGAAATGCAATATCATAATTCATATACATAGCTACTTTTAAATACCTTAGAATGGGGCATTTCTATCTACATTCACCGCAAATCCCCTTCCATTGATGTTTCTACAGTAGCCCTAAAAGGACAAACTACTATAGATCGCGTTTCGCCAGTAGCCTTGTTCTTCGTGCAAAGAAGCTAGCTAAAGTCAGTGAATAAAACACTGACACAATGATGAACAAGTAACAATAATATTCGCAATAACATATCGTTTTAATGAATAATCAAGCAAACATAATTTCTTTATTTATCTTTGTAAAAAAAAAAAAAAAACACATTGCTACTCTCTCAGACGACGGCATCTTTTCCTGTCGAGCACAGTAACTTCTGTTGGTTGCAATTCGCAATCTCACCACTGGATACCGCTAAAACACAAACTACATCTTTAATTCCCACCCAAAAACACACATGGAAGGATGGAAAAATTATATATTAACCTAAAAATGCTAGATGAACCATCTTATAATTGAGCATCCTCAGATTTGTCACCCTTTTTTCCCCATCTTAAAGAGGTGCATTCTGGGATGCTTTTTAAACACAACTGAAGGAGTTGAAAATGTATGCTGGACACTTGTTCAATGTCACATCCAACTCACCCACATCAGTTCAATTTATTCAATATTTTAGTTTTGTATTTATATAATTGCCAAACAAAATACATTTTAAGCAATGCCTGTATAACTGACTTGGCTTAAAGTGCTATTTTCACCCAAAAATGAAAATTCTGTCATCATTTACTCACCCTATTGTTATAACAAACCTGTATGAAATTTCTTTCTTCTTCTGAACACAAAAGAAGATACGTCAGGACCCAAACAGTTGATGAACCTCATAGATTTCCATAGTATATATTTTTTCTCAATACTATGGAAGTCAATGGGGTCCATCAACTGTTTGGTTTCTCATATATTTTCTTTTGTGTTCAGCAGGGTTGTGCAGCAGTAAATAAAGAGGATACAGTGCAGTCATGGCCCAGTAGGCGATACAGACGGCCAGAAGCACAAAGGTGATGATGGGGTAGAACAGAGCGGACATGATGTAACTGATGGCCCTGCGGAGACACACACACACACACACACAGATTATCAGAGAAGCTGTTATTCTTACTGCACACACATTAAGTCATACTTAGATACAAACAGAGACTCACCTGCTGCCCTCTCTGAGCAGAGCGATAGCGATGCGAACCCGCTTTCTCAGGAATATGAGTATGAAGACTATGGAGACTTCAGTCAAACCCAGAGTCACCACTAAGTAGAAAAGAAGAACACATGAAACAAGGAGTAACGCAGAAATTCAAAGCCAATCAATTACAGAACACCGAATCTCATACTGAAGATGAGCCACGTCTGACTGAGTTGTAAGTAGACGTGGAGATCAGTCTGGAAGCCGATGTCGGAGATAGTGACGTCCGCTCCGGGGGTCTTCCTGAGAACAGTGAACTCCCAGTAACAGTGCCAGATACCTGCCAACAAGAGAAGGATGTGTTTCACAGCGCAAGAAATGCAGAACAGATATTCAGTAGATCCAGATGATAAAATCTGTTTATGTTCTACACAATTTTTGGCTTGAGATTATGATTATCTGTGATTTAATTTAATTAAAAAAATTAATTGTGATGAATTAAATGTAATTACATGCAAATTTGATTTCTCGACAACCTTGTTTGTAATTATTCTTGAGAGTCAACATCTGATAACCATTTCAGAATTTATGGCTGTTAACTCACTGAAGTAACCCAGAAATCATGCTAATTTATGTTCAGAGCTGCGGTTAAGTTGCCAGAGTTAACACAGTTGGCACAAGTGATTGTGATGTTAAATAGGCAGAGTCATTAAACAGCATATATTATCATTATGACTTGCAGGGCTCCAGACTAACATTTGAGAGCACTGTGGCACTGAGTTGGCTACAGACGGTGGCACCAGCGCCTGATTTGGTAGCACTTCTATAGTATCTTATATACATTTACATTCACATTTATTCATTTTAGCAGACGCTTTAATCCAAAGCAACTTACAATTGCTATATATGTCAGACGTCACACGCCTCTGGAGCAACTAGGCGTTAAATGTCATGCTCAGGGACACATTGGTGTCTCACAGTGGATTCGAACCCAGGTCTCTCACACCAAAGGCATGTGTCTTATCCACTGCGTCATCACCACCCCATATATCATCAAACAGATTCAGAGATTATAAAAGGAGCGCTCTTTACTAGCTTCCTGTGTAATTTAGTTGCAATTAGAAAAAAAGGTTTTGTTTTCATTAGATTTTCATGGTTACAGAGGTAATTTCATGTCTTTTTTTTTTTTTAAATAAAAGTGTTAGTTTCTCATATACAACAGAAATGGTAGCTCTTATCAGTTGGGCAATGTGGTGGTCGCACTAGTGCAACCTCCAACAGAATTTTATTAAAAAAAGGTCATGAAATGCGTCTATTTGGTGGCAGTCTGGAGCCCTGACTTGGTAAACTATAAGCCATGTTGTGCTGACTGTTTTTGCATCCTTCATTGCCCTTTCATTAGTGTGTTTAGTGTCACATGATCCTTCAGAAATCATTCTAATACGCTGATTTGTTGCTCTAGAAACATTTCTTATTATTATTATCGATGTCGAAATCAATTTTTGCTTATATTTTTGTGGAAAACAAATCAGGATATATATATATATATAAGGATGTCAGGGTTCTGTCCTGGCAGCTTTGTCTGTGTTGTCTTTGTTTCATGTCTCTATGTTTGTGTTGTGCTTGAACATGTGGCTCTCTCTTCCCAGCACATCTTGTCATCTGTCTACTGTTGGTCAATAAACCTGTTATCACTCGTTCTGCATTTGAGTCCTCCTTTATAGACCCCTGACAAAGATTCTTTGATGAATAGAAAGTTCAAAAGAACAGCAATTATTTTAAATAATTTTTTTTTGCAACATTATAAATGTCTTGAGTGTCATTTTTGATCAATTTAATAATAAATGAAGCCTATGAATAAAACTATAATTTTTTTTCAAAAATCATTAAATTTTTTTTTTACATATATATATATATATATTGTAAGTACTGACCATAGGCCACAAGCAGGATAACAGCGAAGATGATGAACCAGAGGAGGAAGCCTGCGGTGAATCGCAGCAGCAAGATGAAGATCAGACTGATGACCAGCGCTATGACCAGCCCTCTGTCACATTGAGAAATTGTTGCATTTCTTTATATAGACAGAAACTTCTTTCACATGGAAACATTTGCTAACAATGGGAATTTGCGTTCAGAGTTTACACCTTTTGGGAGCAAAGACACACCCTCCTCAGTGCAAGTTATCTCTAAACTCTTAAGAAATCTATTACCTTTTGGTTTACTTCTTTTGGAATAAGACATTTGCACCAGTCGCACTGAGACATTTCAAATGATACCAAACATGTATAATACTGTATGATAATTATTCACATTAAACCATATAGATTTTTTGGGTGAATATCTAGTGATCTCAGAGTGAGAGAGAGACAATATGGGGGAGGTGATTGACTCAAGAGAGAGAGTAAAATGTTAATTTCGAGAAAGGTCTTCTCGGGGAGTGGTCGTTCCTCAACCGGACTGCATTTTCTAATTAGTCAATTCTTACAGAACCCATATTGTTTTCACTGTAGGAATCAAAAGAGTATTTCGTTCACTTATGTTGATCAGATTGCTCACTTAAAAATCTCACGTAATTTTTATTCACCTACTGAACACGGTAATTTTATCCAGTGTGAGCTGAAATGAAAGGCTGCTTACATCACTATCCAGTACCAACATCTGGCATAATCCTGCACAATCTTCATTCCCACCTCTTTGGCCTCATGGATACTTGTAATACCACTGCAGGGAAAAATATGTATTTGTAAGCACAAGTCAGATAATAAAGGGCTCAGAGCTTGTCAAAAAGAAGTGTTTACCACATAAACTGAATCAACTACTTCTAGAGCATTTTGTCTCATTAAATAGTGAAGATTATATACATACTTAGCTGCATCTCTGAGTTCAGTCACACTTCTGGCTGTGTCCAGTGCATCTTTGAAAGCGGTTTTGTTAGCTACTGTTAGGGTGCCGTTTCTGGTGATGAAATCTGGGAAGCAGCGCTGTAAAACTTAAAAAAAAAAGGATGATAAGCTGCTAAAGGAATAATAATAATGATACTCAAAATCAAAACATCCTAAGTAAGCAGCTACTCATTTCCTCATTACAAATTAGCCCATATTAGCTCAGATGTAATGTATATATATTAAATATATTAAAAAATATTTTTAAAATATTTTAAAATATTATCTCAGTTGTGGTCAGAATTATTGGCACCCCTGGTAAATATGATCAAAGATGGCTGTAAAAATAAATCTGCATTGTTTATTCTTTTGATCTTTCATTCCAAACATTCGCAAAAAAATAAACCTTTTATTGAAGTAAAAGAATTGAAAGTGGGACGTACATCATGTTATGAAATAAATGGTTTTCTCCAAAACACATTGGTCACAATTATTGGCAACCCTAGAATGTTTTAAGAGTAAAATATCTCAAAAGTATATTCCCATTAATATATATATATATATATTTAGCACTCTCAGAACATGAAATTGTGTAGCTATAACTTCCTGTTTCAACCAAAGAATATAGTTCTGTTGTGATAATAATTCTGTATTGAAATATATGACAAGAAAGCAATAAAAACAAGAGTTGGTGTGCTTAATAAGCAGTTTACCTTTTTTTCCCTCATGATTACAAAAATATAGGCAAAATATCTCAGGTTACTATAAATATCTAACCTGCTTCCCTGAGATGGGAACTTAACGTGGTGTTTTGGTGTTGATGCTATGGGGGACTGCTTCTGCTAAATGCACCAATTTGATTGGCTGAATGTATGGATGTTGTGATGTAGATATTGTCCATAAAGAGATGCCAGAAATGCATGTTGACAGATTCAATTTGTCCGAAGAAGACACACAGGCATATCGGCAAATAACATTCGGTTTCTGAAGCCAAAGAAACTGTCGAAAGGCATTTAATGTACTTGGAGACGCGCTATGCCATGTCACAATATCCATCCATTCAGCCAATCAGATTGGCATGTTTAGACTCATGCTTCAGACATCAGCTCACATGGGAGCTTATAGCATTAAGTTTCCTTCAAAAGGGAGCTTCACCCAAACATTTACTTTGATATCAAAATGGAGGCATATAATAGACTTTCTACAGAGTTACAAAAAACATCACTTAGTGTGATTTATAAGCTGTTTTCCTCAAGGGGACCAAAAAATGTCCCAACAAGGACAAGGATTTTGGATATTTTGTCATTTCATACATTTTGTCCACGTAGGACACACACACACATACACACTGCGCTTACATGGTCGGCTTGGCACTATCACTGATGGACAGTCCTCATCTCGCAGCACTTGTGTCACAGACTGCAATACAAAAAGAGCTTTCCTTAAACAACTCCACTGCATGGCAGCATTTAACTCTATCAATGTTAGCAAGTCAGCAATTTGATAAATGACTCCTCGCAATTCTGAGGATCCATTTACATACATTAGAAGATAACACATAACCAGTGCAAAACCATCAGTCTGACATCAGCTGGCACATAAAATTCTTTAAGGTAAAGTTCACTACTCACTTATACAGAAAAACAATCCTCCAGCAGCCAAAATGGCTTTAAGAATGATGTCTTAAAAGCCCTGAAAGAGCCTGTGGATGCATTCTTGTCAGAAAACAACTCACTTCCTTCTGGAAAACAGAACTAAACAGATGCTAAGGCAGTGCTCTCAAAATATAAAACCACTTCCAAAGGGTTGTCCTTGTCTAAATGCATTCATAAAGACACCCGATTGCTCAGAAGTTGTAATTGTAAATCAGGTGAGATGTAGTATAATGGATATATGTAAGGAATAAGGTAAGAGAGGTAAAGCGGTCATAGCCGTGTTTTTTCGTGATTAAACACAGCTATTGAGTGACCAATCAGAATCAAGGATTGGAACAAACCATTTTATAATTGGAAATATATACATTATTGTTTAAAAGTTTAAATAATACATGAAAAAAAATACATACTTTTATTCAGCAAGAATGCACTAAATTGATCCAAAGTGACAGTAAAGACTTTTATAATATCACGATGGTTTACGTTTTAAAATAAATACCACTCTTTTCACCTTCTATTCATCAAAGAATTCTGAAAAAGTTTCTACACAAATATTAAGCAGCACAATAGTTTAATTTGAATTTTATCAATAGAAAATATTTCTCAGATACTAAAAGACACAAATTAGACATCCTTTGACGTACAGAATACACAGCTATAAAATGAACATGGATAATATAGATCAGAGAAATCAGTTTTGGAGGGATTTGATGAACAATTTTCAAGTTTATATTAAAACATCCAAATTTGCTCTTCTCAAAGGTCTTTATTAGCTCAATTTGACAAACTGACAAAACATATAGTCTTTTTGGTAGCACTTTACTTGAAGGGGTGTGCATAAGACTGACATGACACCTTCATAACCATAACCATAACATGACATATGTCTTGAATATGAAGTAGGGTTTATGCATGTTTATGACAACTGTCATTAAGTGTCATTCGCGCAATAATGACATTTTGAATGCAAATATGACATCTTTGTTATGACCTATTGACATAAACCAAAACATCATAACCTGTCAGTGTCACTCTTTGCCATGACAACTTGACATAAAATGAAGTTAAACTGTCATGTGTTTGGCTTTGACATTGGCTGTCATGAGGCCATTATAACTGTGTCATGAATATTTTTCGTGACCACAACTACAGTGGTACTAATTTAATTTGTCATTAAAATGTTCTGGCTTCATGACAGCCAATGTCAAAAACCAACCAATTAATGTAATGTAATGTTAACCAATAAAGCTAAGTGGTTTCTTAAGTTTGCTGCTATGTCATGTTTATGACAGGTTGTGTTGTCTCAGAAATGTCAAGTTCTCATGAAAACGACACTGACAGGTTATGATTTATTGGTTTACGTCAAGATGTCATAACAAAGACACCCCAAACAATGTCATATTTGCGTTAAAAATGTCAAATGTCATGTCATGATTATGAAGATGTCATGTCAGTCTTATGCACACCCCTTCAAGTAAAGTGTACCGCCATTTTTATAGCCTTTAATTCTTCTGAAAACACACAGAAGGGATAGAAGCCTATTAAACTTTTTTTTTTCAGTTTGTTAAATCTAATTGGCATTGTGCCTTTATTGAGTTCATTGCAACTCTTCAGCATGCCCGTGTGATTTACCTTTTTAGGATTATTGAAGCCAGGCTTGCAGAACTGTTTATAATAATCCCAGTGGCTCTTGTTGAATCTATAATGGAGCTGCATATCTGTGTACGTTGCGAATCGATCAGGGCACTTGGAAACACACATCTAGAAACAGTTAGGTTATTTAAACAAACAAAAAATCAGTTCAGCGGGGGCAAATTTAGCAATATTTAGACAGTATTAGTGATGAACAAGTGTATTACCTGAGTAGTAGGGCACTGGAGGTTTATCAGGACAGCAGGACTGGCACACTTCAGTATGTTGAAGTAGAATAATATGGCTTTCTTTCTATGAAGGAAAATGAATTATAATGTGAAAATGGCAGTATTTTGCCAGTAGGTGTCAGTGGAGCTATTCAGATGTGTCTATGGGGGTGAAATCAATGTTTTAAGCAGCTTTCCACTCCAAACATTCAGTTGCAGTGCTTTACATCAGTGTTGCTTTGTAAATCACAACATATAACCGTGATTCAACACTAAATAATCAGTGTCCTCCAGCCTGCTGAATAACTGAAATGCTGAGATACATTTTTATGATATACAGATAAAAACTCAGTATCCAATCAGTTTGTCTGGGCAAGGAATAGTATTAAGGGCTTGTGTCAGATTCCCACTGTACCCATAATCCCATAAGCCACTGAGGGCATCACATCTCCTAATTATGAACTGCACCGATCCAAAATACTTTCACCGAGTAAACATCTCTCACACTACGGCTGTCCATTACAAACACTCTTATCAGCGAGTCCCAGCTCCTCTAATGAGCATTTCTTTATTTTCCCCAAGGTTATGCGCTGCCAATCAACACAAAACACCACAAAAGGGAACTCGGCACAAAAGCAATGTAAGTTTTAGAAGGCTTAAGGATTATGTTGTGCTTTTGGGTATGATAAATAAATACACAAATAGAAATGGAAGGTATAGTTATGTGTAATAACCAGAATATTCTAATTACATAGCTGGTGAAACATGTTTTAATTGGGTGGGGTGTATTTTGGCCCCTCCCACCCAAGCTTATGATTGGCTCGTGGTGTTTCTTGCACTTACGCATTTGGTGTGCCCTTCTGTCCACAGAACTGACCCGAGCTGTCAGTCGGGTAAATGACTTTCCTTGGGTCCCCATGAATCCATGCTACAACAAAGAGGATACATAATTAAATGAATTAATTAAAGAGGAAATCCCAAATGATCTATACAGGGATCATAATGTATAATGAAATATTGAATTTTCATCAGGGAATTTAGATGCACAACAGCTCAGATGCCATGGTCCTTCTCGTCTATTCTTTGGTGATGCTGTAAAAATTCACTTCAGGGACCTATAAAGTAACCAGCTATCTAATACATCTATATCTTATGAGTGCATACTAATGACTTCTGAGACCCTTGTTTATATGACAGTATTGCTCAGGATGATTAAATCCATTCAAGTATAACTGGAGAATAATTGATTTCAGCGCTATTTAGGATGAAGTCACTATAGAAACAACCGAGTATCAAAGTCTCTGTTTGAAATCTCTTTGATATCGATATGAAGCAGAGTTGTAATTTGCCAAATTAAACGACTGTGACACATCTGTCCCTTGGATTTTTTCAACAATCAACTTATTCAAATCAAAAAGCTTTTTTTTTTTTTTTTAAATAAAATGTTTAAAAAAATTATTGTGATTTTAGTGGTAAAAATGCTACAATGAAAAACTGTTAATTGGTTAACAGAACCTTTCCTTACTATATACAGTAAATAACTGTGATAGATCTAATGGCACATTTCATGTAATTTTACTGTAAAATAGCGTTACATTTACAGTTTTTAAAGTGAAAATGAACAACTCACTGGTTAATTTACAGTGAAAAAACGTTTTCCCTGTGTGACACTTCACATTTGATGTATTTTTATTGAAATAACTGTTTTGCTTAGTCTAGGGTTTTATGTGACATTTAATGTTGTTAAATTAATGTTTATTGCCTTTTTAAAATTTCATGTGTTTGAGTGAATGACACTGTGCAGCTTATATATTAATATTAAATTTCTTGTGAAAGAGCTGCATGAGCTTTAATTTATCATGCGACTTTCATCACTGCTATGATTTTTGGTTGTCAGGGTATTACAAAGGAACAAAACAGATATTAATACTTCAATTGGTTGATAATTTAACATTATATCAGATAATAAAATACGGTTTATTTCTGTAAATTTTAAGTTAAGTCTGTAAAACCTTACCGACGTAAAGTCTTGCTACCGTATTTTATACAGTAAATTTCTGGCAAACACAGCTGCCACTATTTTACTGTAAATTGTAAAAAAAAAATTTACAGTGTACATTCTACTACAGGCTGCTATACTATAGATGCTATTTCTCTGCTCACAAGGCAAAATGATTTCTGTTATCTGAACATTGTTCTGAATGAACTACTGAAAAAACAACTCAAAAACTCTGCATGCTACAGCTCCACGTGGAGTAACCTGCTGAGCAAAGGCTATTAGAGCTGTATTTCACAGAGCTGTGAAATGAGATTCACACCACAATGCCTCGTTTTAATGCTAGAATTAAGCTGCAGTGACAACTTTGACCTTAAAAAAGTGCCAGTATACATGCATGCAAAACAAAACTAGTAGCACAAGTTATGCACAAAATACAGTGAAGCTCTTTATACTCAATATGCATTAAGATGCAGTAACCACAATGAGCAACATCTCGTTCTGCACACAGGGACTATAGCAGTCACGAGACTCTGTGTCTAAAGGATGATGTCATTGGTGATTTCATCTTTTGCCAATAGCAGAGGAAGATTTGAGTGGTCTTTTTTTGGGAGGGGGAGGGCAGCTCTTACAGGGGTGACATCATTCTTCTGCCAGGGGCAATATGATGTCATAGCATTATTGCTTCCCATTAGTGCACAGACCCTGCAAAATGAGGCAAGACCACCGTGCTACATGCTGTTCATGGAGGGATCTGAGTGATGGGGAACTTAGCAGATTGTGAGTCAGGATGTAAGGCGTTCACATTCAATGCAGGTGCGGCTTGACTTGTCTTCTGTGTTATTGTTCTTAGCCGTGTTTGGAGAAACTGTGAAAATCACGCCACAGTACTTATCTCATATCTGGTGGAGCTTATCGCTCTTTGAAAAAAAAAAAAAAGAACCAAGCATGAAGAAAACTGAAAAAATACACAAATCAAAACATATTCAGAAGACACAAAAATACAAACAAAATAAAAATCAACAAAAAACACAAAAAGCAAAAAACAAACAAACAAAAGAAACCCAAAAAACCAGAACAGAAAACAATAACTAAACAATAACTGCTGATTATCACTTGGTTATCTTAAATTTTTATCATATCTGGTGGAAGCTTGTTTCTGCCACAGAATAAAAAAGGAATTGCAACATTTTATCTCACAATTCTGCCTTTTTTCCCTTACAATTGCGACGTTACATCTCACAATTATGAATTTTTTTCCTCAAAATTGTGAGTTTACATCTCACAATTCTGACTTTTTTCCTCACAACTGTGAGTTTACATCTCACAATTCTGACTTTTTTCCTCACAACTGTGAGTTTACATCTCACAATTCTGACTTTTTTCCTCACAATTGCGACTTTACATCTCACAATTATGAATTTTTTTTCTCAAAATTGCGAGTTTACATCTCACAATTCTGACTTTTTTCCTCACAATTGCGACTTTACATCTCACAATTATGAATTTTTTTCCTCAAAATTGTGAGTTTACATCTTGCAATTCTGACTTTTTCCTCACAACTGTGAGTTTACATCTCACAATTCTGACTTTTTTCCTCACAACTGCGAGTTTACATCTCACAATTCTGACTTTTTCCTCACAACTGCGAGTTTACATCTTGCAATTCTGACTTTTTCCTCACAACTGTGAGTTTACATCTCACAATTCTGACTTTTTTCCTCACAACTGTGAGTTTACATCTCACAATTCTGACTTTTTCCTCACAACTGCGAGTTTACATCTCACAATTCTGACTTTTTCCTCACAACTGTGAGTTTACATCTCACAATTCTGACTTTTTCCTCACAACTGCGAGTTTACATCTTGCAATTCTGACTTTTTCCTCACAACTGTGAGTTTACATCTCACAATTCTGACTTTTTTCCTCACAACTGCGAGTTTACATCTCACAATTCTGACTTTTTTCCTCACAACTGCGAGTTTACATCTCACAATTCTGACTTTTTTCCTCACAACTGCGAGTTCACATCTCGCAATTCTGACTTTTTCCTCACAACTGTGAGTTTACATCTCACAATTCTGACTTTTTCCTCACAACTGCGAGTTTACATCTCACAATTCTTTCTTTTTTCCTCACAACTGCGAGTTTTCATCTCACAATTCTGACTTTTTCCTCACAACTGCGAGTTCACATCTCGCAATTCTGACTTTTTCCTCACAACTGTGAGTTTACATCTCACAATTCTGACTTTTTCCTCACAACTGCGAGTTTACATCTCACAATTCTGACTTTTTCCTCACAACTGCGAGTTTACATCTCACAATTCTTTCTTTTTTCCTCACAACTGCGAGTTTTCATCTCACAATTCTGACTTTTTCCTCACAACTGCGAGTTTACATCTCACAATTCTGACTTTTTCCTCACAACTGCGAGTTCACATCTCGCAATTCTGACTTTTTCCTCACAACTGTGAGTTTATATCTCACAATTCTGACTTTTTCCTCACAACTGCGAGTTCACATCTCGCAATTCTGACTTTTTTCCTCACAACTGCGAGTTTATATCTCACAATTCTGACTTTTTTCCTCACAACTGCGAGTTTACATCTCACAATTCTGACTTTTTTCCTCACAACTGCGAGTTTACATCTCACAATTCGGACTTTTTCCTCACAACTGCGAGTTCACATCTCGCAATTCTGACTTTTTTCCTCACAACTGCGAGTTTACATCTCACAATTCTGACTATTTTCCTCACAACTGCGAGTTCACATCTCGCAATTCTGACTTTTTTCCTCACAACTGCGAGTTTACATCTCACAATTCTGACTATTTTCCTCACAACTACGAGTTTACATCTCGCAATTCTGGCTTTTTTTCTCACAACTGCGAGTTTACATCTCACAATTCTGACTTATTTTCTCAGAAATAGTCAGAATTGCGAGATGTAAGCTCGCAATTGTGAGATAAAAACTTGCAATTATCTTTTAAAATGTTTAATTCTGTGGTGGAAACAAGCTTTCATTGGTGGAACCTAAAATGTATCTCTCAAAAAATAAAAACACAAAACAAAACCAGAATAAAACACACAAGCAAAACAAAAGAAAACACAAAAACACACAAATCAAACCAAATTCAGAACACAAAAACAAAATAAAACACAAATAATTAACAAAATAAAACAACTACAAGAGAAACACAAAAGCAAAACAAAAGAAACACAAAAACAGAACAGAGCAAAACACAAAACTAAACAATAACTGTTGATCAATGTTTTTGATAAATAGTTATCTCAAACTTTTCATATCCTAAAAAGTATCTCTCAAGAAAACAAAACTGATCATCACTATTTTTTGGATTTGTTTTAACTAGTTGCATTGTGTACAATATAAAAAAAAACGTTGAACGTCCAACGGGAACATCACGCTGTGAAACCAGTGGGCATCTATGTGAGAGAACTTTTCAAACAAGGGCTCTCCGTGCCCCTGCCTCCGTGCATCTCTTATGTACTTGAAACACAATCAGCATTTGCTGTGTGAGGGCATGTGTGTGTCAGTGTGGCCATGGATGTACAGTACTGTGCTATCAGTAAATCTGCAGGATGATCCCACAGCGTGCCAATGTGAATGAGGATCAAAATCATTTTAAGTGATGAAAAAGTTCTGGCATTTCCAAATTCAGAGCCAAGTTCTTTTGTCCTTTAAATAAACAGTATCTATAACAAAGCCACCCCTGTGGCAATTCTTCTTGCATCAGCTTCTCCACAGTGAGAAGAGCATGGTATTAGCATTAGCGTTAACTTTAGCCATGCTTTGAAGTGGAGGGAAGAACTGTGGAGGAGCTCCTGGTGGAGTTGAACATCATAAAATATTCATGCATGATCTTACATCAGAGGAGCTGACAAGGAATGCACAGACTTTACTCTTCATTCTCAAAAAATATTCCTCAGTAAGAGAGACGCTCTCTCGCTCCATCTCTTTTTCGGTCTCTTATGTACCGAACACCCACTTTGGCATCTTTATATGCTGGATGTTGATTCATCTGCAGTCTATGGGGTTCTTGTTAAAGCTTGTTTTTCTCTTGAGAACCAGTGGTTCAGAATTCGTCTGATCAAAGGTTCTCGTGTTGGTTTCTGGCCCTGCAGATCAGTATTTTAATCACTGGATAAGAGAAAGTCATTAAAACCACCACACTTACAGAGCAGCTCTACCTTCATTAAGATTTGGGGAGATAGATGCTAACTGGTAACATAATTTACCTTTTTACTAGCATGCCAGTAGCGTTTTCAAAACAATGTAGCTTTTCAAGTAACAAGCAATTTCTTTCCCATAAGAAGTGGTGTGGCATGACCTTTACAACCATTACATGGGAAATGCCACATTGCGATATTTTTATTTATTTATTTCACGTTGTATTTATAGCCAGGTGAGGGTATAACAAAATGCTCTCTCAAATGTAGTGTTGGGAATTTAAAAAGGAAACAGAAAAAAAACCCATAATATCCAGTGACTTGCTTCAAATAGTTATATTAGTTGTAGTTAGTACCTACCTATTCGAGATTCTCATTTTTGTGCCAAATAAACACTGCTGTTTCCAATTAATTCTTTATTTATCAGTTATAACACAGATGTTTATACTTTATACTATACTTTATTTATAAGTTTACTGTAACAACAAGTAAAAAAATGTATAGTTAGACTAATTTATATAATGAAAAATATAATGGGAAAAAAACGTATTCATGTAGCCCTTGGTAAGCTGGTAAAACATTATCTACAACTAACATTTACAACAGTTTTTGAAATAATTATTATATATTGCACCTGTTATCATGGAGCATGTAGTTTTGGGGGGTCTTATGAGACTCTGATGATCTAGCCTGGCTCATAGCCTGTTTATCTCACAAAATAAAAGATTACAGTAAGTTCCTACAAAGCAGATGCAGCACTTACCCACAGTGCCCAGTGCAATGTAGCCGAGGATGACAATGGTGAAGAGCACACAGCACAGCACATCTGTGCAGCCTCTGGAAAAGAAAAGACAATAAAAATGCAGTCTCATCTCATTACATGATCTTAAGACGTATATGTCGTATTTCCCATAAACCTGTGAATGAAAAGCTATCACAATAATTAATCTTACATAGTCAATTTAATGAAAACCTGAATGAGAAATTTGGTATGTTGCACAAAACATGGCACTTTACGATAATATTGTGCAAATTCAATTTATATAGAATTCAGTGACGTAAAAATGTATATTTTTAAGTATATTTTTATTCTTTTTTTAAATATTACCTATGCAGTGTGAAATATACTGTATATCTGTTTGTGAATGTAAAAGGTCTGCAAGGTTTCAAAGATCAAAGTGCATGACAAATGATATTCTCTCCCAAAGAAAGAACAGATTATAAACTGCCTGAAACGAGTCGTCAGTAATTCCAGTCTTACTTCCTGTACGAACATACTGTACGTAGGTTTGTAACAAATTTGCATAATGCCAGCCTATTTTGACCGGCCCTACTTTGACCGGCCCAGTTGTAGCTGAGACTGGATGAGTTTGGTTTGTGTTGTTGATATGTCGAGAAGACGATGTTTTCTGCACGAAACTGCACACGAAAGCAATTTCACTTTGTAGCACTTGAATTGACACGATAAAACCAATACCATTGTTTCTGTTCGTGTCACTGTGTATACAGTACATGTGAATAATGTCAAGAGACCTCGTAAACAAAATTTGAACCTTTAAAATAGAATAGTAGGGGCACTTAGTTTAATAACTTATTTCACTACAAGATTTCCCCTATTTTTATATAAAAAAGTAACATTCCTCAGATACAGACCTAACATTATTTTAACCCTTTCATGAATATTTGCTCAACAACAAGGAAATGACAAAGAGCTAGATGAAAATGAACAGATGAAGACATGAGGACTGGCTGACTGGGCATTATCCCTTATATATGCAATTCCATATACTGAATATCGACCAAAACCGTCGATAGAATGTTGAGATAAGGCACATCTTTCAAACGTAAGCTGATAACATCAAGTAAAGCAAGGTCACATGTACTGCTACCGCACATCAAATACTCTAGAGATTGTGTCGAACATGCAAATCTTTGACAAGGTCGACAGTGACCTGCACAATACAGAAGAAAGGCAACAAGAGAAAGAAAGTCAAAATAAGTTCCTTATCACAGCTGAGATTAAATGATGAGGAGCAAAGAAATGATCCAGTCTTGAAAGTAGTAGGCACTATACAAATATTTAGTGTGAAATCAATAAATTCACTCTAATGCTCACAGGTTTTTTTTTTTTACAATTACAGTGGGAGCAGAGTTGTACCTTCAAGAGGATTATAGACTCAAAAAAGGTTCAATGGGGTTCTATATATGGTTCTTGACTCAATTTGAAAGAACCTTTATGCCCAAAAGGTTCTAAACAAGGAGAAATATCTTAAATGATAATACTTTTACGTTCAATGTACCTTTTTAATTTTTTCTAGCGATAAATTAAAACAAAATTAATTTAAAACTAATTGGTAACACTTTAGTACGGTAGCGTATTGCATTCACTTTAGGAAAAAAATGTACTTACTGAGTTAATTATCTCAGAATTACAAGATAATTCAGAAAAACAGAGCAAAAACTTTTTTTCCATGAAAAATAATCTTGTAATTCTGAGATAATTAACTCGCAGCAGGCCCTGACTGGCCCATATACTATATGAGCTGATAACCACTGATAACGCCCATTCAATCGAGTGATAACATTCGAAGCGGGTGCTAAGAAAACACTAATGACTATAATGATGACATACGGCAAACTATTTACCAAAAAAAAAAAAAACATCATTATGACAAAATATAGCAAAATCTTTATATTATTATTCTATACACTCCCATTGCACAAGCATATTTTTTAAGACTAAGACTAATTTGAATTTTTTTACTAAATTATTATTTTCAAATAAATACTAGAAATAGTAAGTAAACTTTTTATCACTCGCTCTTGAAATTTGCTTTTAGATTCCAGTTATTAGGAAAATAGAGATTCCACAGTTTGTTTATTTTGGATTTATGACTTATCTTTCAAACATTATACACAGAACTTCTAATCTTTCATTTGTCTTATTTTACTCCTCATTTGTGTGTATTGCAGAACAGACACAAAAAACATTCTCTTATAGTAAGCGAGTTGTGTCTGGATATTGCACTGAAAGATCTTCTTCAGGACTCATAAAAGTAATATTTGTCATGCTGAAGCTGAATATGGGCTGGCGGTAAGACAATTGCACTGGTGAAAGCAGAAAGCAATTATAAATGTCTAACTCGCTCGCTGGTAACAAATTACTTTGCTTGCTTCTCAAAGGGTTTGATGAAAGTGATTCTTTGGAGGAGACAGCTGTGTCTGGGCAATTTCTATAAGTGCATGGAGGTTGAAAGGTGGAACTTTTTTAAAAACTGGAGTTCAAGCTCTCGACACATCTCTCATTACAACACATACAAAACAATCAAGTATTCAATTACAGTAGTACAATATGATCATGGTCAATCATGGTCAGTGAATTTAGCGTGTTCTGAATGATGATGCATCCTAGGAAATTGTCACTTTTAGCTTAGGTTTTGTTTGTTCATGTCTTTTTTTGTGTGGTTTTCACAGTTATGTTATCCTGCCATGTGTCGTGTGATTCCCTTGTCCCCATGTGATCATGTAATGTGGTTCCTTGTTTAATGTGTTGTTCTCATTGGTTCATTGTTTAATCATGTTCACAAGTGTGTCTTGTCAAGTCATTAGTCTCTGTGTATTTATTGACCTCATGTTTCCAAAGGCCACAGGGATTTAGAGAAACAAATATCCCCCCTATAGCACGCGTCCAGTGGATTATGTTACAGAAATAATTAAGGAAAGGGAAATAAACTGAACCATTTGCTAAATTATTTATATATAGTACAATAAAATACCCTGGGTTTGAAATAATTAATTCAGTTCAAATAAGTTTTTCACTTTTTTTTGAAAAGGTGTAATTAATCTGAAATATGATATGAACAAAGATTTTTTTTTAGATGCAATACATCTCATAAATGTAAATAAATAAATAAATAAATAAATAATAAGAGCAGAACCATAAATGTGCTGAGATTAGATTTATTGGCATTGAAAGTCTGGACATCTTAATCGATCTTCCTCAAATTCATATATTCATAGTCATACCTTACAATAAACCAAAGAGGTTTTGTGTGGTTGGCAGTGTTTGATCTAGGAGAATCAATGAATGCACCACCAACAAACAAATGTATTTTCAGTGCATTTCAGGATAGAAGTCAAGATGTCAAGACTTCCTGTGACCCTGCCTTAAGTTTAGAATAGCAAGGAGTAGAAATGTCCATGTTTGTCAGATAAGATCTCTTCACAGCAGATTTTTAAAACTTTAACTTATTGCATATTAACTACACAAACATTAGCAAAATAAGTTTGCAGTACATAACAGTGCCCACTGAAAAACCCTTGTATTTAACATACCTAGCAGTAAACAAGGTCTTGCAAACAGGCTCGAATGAAGGCTTTACAGAGGTACAAGGAGAAGTATTATGACCATTATTGATACAATTACCCTTTAACTTGCACCTGAGAATGATGCACGATCCAGACATTTATTAGACTATTTATAAAGGCCCACATTCTCATGCCAAGGTTACACTAAACCTGGTTTTATTGAGGTCAATCTCACCCCCCTCCAAACGTAAAACCTTAAGCCCACCTCATCTGTAAATAGATAGGGAAGGGCACAGGAGAGATTTCAAACTCATAAGCCGATTAGAGCTCATTATCAATAGCAGCAGGTGGGTCAGCGCTCTACTAAACACTGAGCTCAGCACAGCCTCAGTCCAAATGTGCTGCTCACTGCTAACGAATTTCACATATCGTCACAATGTTCAACTAGTTTCATGGGTATTTCTGTTCCATAAATGTTTAGGGTTAGATTTGATTAAATCATCAAATTAAAGTATTAAACATGTGATGCATTATTATATTGTGATTATTCTTCTGCCGAGCGAAAACAAAAATCCCCTAGACCAACCATAGACCAGAACATCACAGAGACTCTTTTGACTTAGACCAGTAAGTAAACACACAGAACACCCTAGCAACCACCTAGAAATCCTAGAAACAACCCACAACATTCTAGCAGCCACCTAGTATTAACGATCAGATAGCAATGCAACTACTTAGCAATGTTGAAACCACAAAATATAAAAACCATCTATTAACATCTCAGTAATTAGCTAACAATGTTTATCAACAACCTAAAATGGTAGAAACAACCCACAACATTCTAGTAACCACCAAGCAACAGCTAGTAATGTTAGCAACTACTTTCAAATGCTAAACCTAAAAACCATTCTAAAAACAATTATTAACATCCTAACATTTAGCTAGTAATGTTAATAACCGCCTAAAATTGTTAAAAAAAACAACCCACAACATTATATTAAACACCTAGTAACACCTTTACAACTAGCTAGTAATGCTAGCAACTACAAATGCTAAACCACCTAAACCATTCTAAAAACACTTATTAACATCCTAACAATTAGCTAGTAAAGTTAATAACCATGCGTAAAATTGTTAAAAAAAACACACCACAATATTATATCAACCACCTAGTAACACCTTTACAACTAGCTAGTAATGCTAGCAACTGTATGCTAAACAACCTAAACCATTCTAAAAGCACTTATTAACATCCTAACAATTAGCTAGTAAAGTTAATAACCATGCCTAAAATTGTTAAAAACAACCCGCAACATTATATCAACCACCTAGTAACACCTTTACAACTAGCTAGTAATGCTAGCAACTACAAATGCTAAACCATTCTAAAACACTTATTAACATCCTAACAATTAGCTAGTAAAGTTAATAACCATGCCTAAAGTTGTTAAAAACAACCCACAACATTATATTAACCACCTAGTAACACCATAGCAACCAGCTAGCAATGGTGTCTAATAAATCACCCA